TGTCATCGTTCAAGAGGCCTCTCTTATCGTTCAAGAGGCCCCTATCATCCCTCAAGAGTCCACTCCCACCGTTCAAGAGGCCCCTGTCATCGTTGAAGAGATCCCTCCCACCATTCAAGAGCCCGATTCACACGGTGTAATATGTCGAATTATTGAGAAACCCTCTCACGTGCCAGACATGTTGGATGATTGTTGGCTTTCGTATGAGTTACCGGCCAGTACCATTCCGACAGATAAAGTGGAGAAGAGAAAACTACCGGAAACAATTCTGGATAATACCCTTTAGGCTAAGACCGCAGTTGATTTTTATCTACATGAGCGGAGCCAGGGGTGTTACGCTGACATAAACAAACTCAACGATGATATGCATTTGTTGATTAATCGGTCTTGGTGGGGTATGTTATTAGGGGTTGAAGACAAAGGCTATTTTGATGGGGGGTAAGTCTTATATTTTTTTTATATTTCATTTTGATTAATTTTTTTAAAATTTATGTAATTCACTAATATATGTCTTTTTTTGTAAAACAGTATATTGATGCATGGGTGTCACGTCTTCTAATGATAAGGAAAATGAGGAAAAATAAAAAAATACGCGATATACAATTATGCCGACGTCTTTTCACATAGTTCACTTGAAGAATCAACGACAGGACTCATATGTGTTGGCTAATGGACAAGCTAAACTTTATCCTGCATGGTGGGAGGTCGATAAGGTTAGTATTTATTTTTTAAATATTTTAAAGGTGTTCATAATTAAGTGCGCAATTGAATTATTACTTATGATTGCAGGTGTTTATCCCTATTTTGGAACGTACTCATTGGCTTCTCGTCGAGCTTCAGCTCCTATCCCTAAAGACAATAGTATATGACAGCATGATAAATTACATATCATTGTCTGATTTGAGAGATATTATTAAGGGATGGAGCTCTCATTTGGTTAAATTCTTGGATGCGATTAATTATTGGACTTATTCTGAAAACAAGAAGCCAAAGAAGTTCAATGTTACAGTTATCAAAGACGAGACCGCGCCACAACAAACGCAGGAAGCCAGAGGGGATTGTGGTCCTCTCGTATGCATGTGCTTGGAGTGTTTGACGACATGAAGTACACAGTTTCTACCTCCTACCGATAGAGATAGAGGTGCAGTAGGCTTGTGGTTTCGGCATTTTATGGCTAGAGCGATATATGCGAGACGCTGCTTACCTGCATCCGTGTTATAAAAGTGTCCATAAACAATTGGTAAGTCAAATGCAAGTGTTGTTAAGTACTTAGAATTCAATAATTTGTTGTTTGTTGGTTTTAGATGTGTAGAAAGTGTTGTTTGAGCAAATGTTTGGTTTCTGCAGGTTAATCCTGAAGTGAGCTGCGTGAAATTGATGTATAGGTGCATAAATAGCTGTCTGGGGTACACTTTTTTTTATTGTTTAATTGATTCTTAAAAGTCTGATTTGTTTAATTGATGAGGAAAATAAGAATTATTATTATTTTTTGCTTGTTTAATTGATTTATAAAAGTTGATTTGTTTAATTGATGTGTAAATAATTATTATTTGTGCTTGTTTAATTGATTAAAATGTAAAAGTTGATTTGTTAATTTCAATCTGCATCATATTGAAGGCAAAAGACCTGTTGAAGGTACACTTTCGCAACGCTAAACTCAAAATCGCAATGCGAAAGTCAAAATCGCAATGCGAAAGCCAAAATCGCAACGCGAAAGTCAATTCGCGTTGCGATAGTCTAATACGCTTTGTGATTTTCTCGTTGCGATAGTCAAATTCTCGTTGCGATAATTAAATTCACGTTGCGATAGTCAAATTTGCGTTGCGATAGTCAAATTCGCGTTGCGATTTTTGCGTTGCGATAGTCAAATTCGCGTTGCGATATTCAAATGAATGTGTAATAAGTGATAACAACTGAACAGATCATAGCAATGTTCAAACTCAAGTTACTAATACATGCCTAATTGAAAATGTTAAAAGTTTACACATAAAATACACATAATAGTCAAATTCGCGTTGCGATATTCAAATGAATGTGTAATAAGTGATAACAACTGAACAGATTATAGCAATGTTCAAACTCAAGTTACTAATACATGCCTAACTGAAAATGTTAAAAGTTTACACATAAAATACACATAATACAACGTTTGCATTTAAAAATCACCTAAGTTAATAGTCCCAAAAGGTGAAGCCGGTTGTGATTGGGATTTTGATTTTGATTGCGATTTTGATTGCCTTTTTCTTGACACCATATGAGCTTTGGATTTTGATGAGGATCCATATTTTGGTAGAGGAAAAGATGATTGTGATGGCACTGGTGATCTACATGTCAACCTTGTATGACCACTTTCCTTGCACCGACTACATGTCTATCTCTTCTTCTCTTCACCCTTAGACGGTATACGATCGTGACTTTTTGGTTGGCCAGGTAGCCTTCTGTCCATGGCTGGTGGCAAAACTGTTTGTAAGCCATCTGGTATGTCCCACTCAGAAAGATGTGGAATAGGGTAGATAATCTCGGCATAAGTCTGTCGATATACTTATGTAGTGTAGCAATCCATAGCGTATGCGCTTGAATCATCTTGGTTTAGATGAAGAGCAACTTTTATAACATGGCCACACGGATAACCAGATGTTTGCCATTTCATACAACTACACGTCTTTGCATTTAAATCGACAAGCCCATTTAAGTTATTATCCAGTAATTCAAATAAAGTGTTTGAACATGGTTCAACTCTCCATAACGTTGACTTTACAACACGTTTCGTTATCTTTTTTTCATTCCATGGTGTAACACGATGTTCCAATGTTCCTGTAAATTTAAATAAATAATACTTAGTAAAATATATGATAAGTTACGAATTTAAAGAAATAATACATGCATGGTTTCTTTTCTTGTAGTACCACTATTGAATAGAGGCTCGAAAAAACTCCATTAACATAGTAATGGGTAATTTCCGGGAATGACGACTTAGAGCGTTGATTGATTCTGCACTATTAGACGTCATGAAACCATATCTTGCTCCAAGTTGATGTACTCTTGACCATCTTTCAAACCCGACATCTTCTAGTGTTTGAGCACACTGAGGCAAAACACGTCTTAAACAATTTATATGCTTATTAAAATCCACTTCCAGATAAGCATTTACAGCCTTCCAGTATGTCCATTTGTGATTTTTTATACCAACAGACCTTGATTTTAGATTTTTATACAAATGAACACCACAAAGTCCATGAAAAGCATCTGGGAAACACCTTCTAACAACGTTGTCAATTGAGTTTGCCCTATCGGATATGATTGTCAGATTGCTAATAGGACCTATGCAATCCTTAAGATGCCCCATAAACCATGTCCATGAATCAGAGGTTTCAGATTTGCCAACCCCGTAAGCTATTGACAATATCCCATTATTAGCATCCATGACTACTGCTAATAAGTTTACTCCAAGGTATCGACCTTTCAAATGTGCTCCGTCAACTATAATAACTGGGTGCATGCAAGTAATAAACGAACGAATCTACAAAATAATATACACAAGAAATATAATCATTTAAATGTAAAATGCATGTAACTAACAAAAATGAGTCAACAAAATTATATTAATTTACTAACAGCAACACCAATGGCGATAAATAGCAACTCAAAGTTTCCATCTCTATCTATTTTGATATGAGTTACCGACCCAGGATTTTTCAGCTTTAAATTGTGACAATAAGCCGACAGTTGGGCAAACGATGCTTCTGGCGACCCCCTCAACAATTCCAAGGCATAACATTTGGCTCTCCAAGCTTGAGAATATGAGATACTAATCTTGAACCGAGCATTCATGTCAGTCATAATTTCATGTCCCCGATATACCCTTCCATTCAAAAACATTAACTCAGCCAGAAAACCACCCAACACCTTTTTGTTTGCCTGTCTATGGTGAGAAAAAACTTGGGTTCTTGAACATGTATGTTTATCAATAAAAGTCCTAACTTGAAACATTTCGCAATCTTTTATCCTCTTTGCAATCATACGCCACGTACAGTTTTTGTCAATCATACACCTTGTTTCAAAATGATATTTGCTTGATTTGTTAACTTTTAGTTGATAGCCATCTTCCATACATTTCGTATACAAAGCTATCTTCAAGTCTTCCTTTGTATCAAAACAATCATCTTTCTTGATACGAATAATTTTTGTGTAACAATCAACTGCTATCTTTACCAACTCTTCTTCCGGTATCTGAAGTAATTCTGGCATATTCCAGTTATACTCCCGTGACATTTTCTTCAAGGACTTTTCTTCGGGGATTTCTTCTTCTTCTTTTTCTTCTTCAGGGTTATATGAATTACAGAAAGGATGTTCAACATGTTCATTTACAGTCGTAACTTCCTCCTCATTATCATCAACAACATCTTCCTCGGCAGCAGCTGTTTCATCATCAAAATTCGGGTATTGACCAATATCAAAATCATTACACGCAGGGTCTGTTTCTTCTTCTGAAACATCATCAAAATCCGAGTATTGACCAAGATCAAAGTCCGGGTATTGACCAATATCAAATTTCGAATACTGACTAGTACTCACAATTTTTTCTGTTGGCTCATCATCGTCTAACTGGTCAATACAAAAACCGAAATTTGGTGCTGAAAGTTGATTTGGATTTGGATTAGGGAAATGTTGTGGGTTTTGAGATTGTGTTTGATATTGGAAATGTGGTGAAACAAAATTTGCTTGGTGATGAAATTATAGTGAAACCATTAAATTTTGAGCACCATAAACTGGGGTTGGAAAACTTAGTTGATTACTACCCGCTACTGACCCAACTTCACTACTTCTAGGTTCAACAACATACAATGTAACATCATCTTACGAAACACTAATGTAAGCAATGAATCGTTCAACATCTTCATTGTCGGTTAACAAATAAACTTTACCTTTTCTCTGATAAGATAGCCTAAATCCACTTAGGGGCTCTAAATTCAATTTATTTACAACACGTAACACTAGAGTTTCATAAGTTAACTTTTTTAATGACAGTTTTAGTTGAAGATTCATGGGTAAAAGCATATATTGTAAAACACCATGAACATTCTTCCATGACCCTCCAAAACACAAATCTATCCAAACATGATCAACATTAGATGATTTCATTATTGTAAATTAATTTACTAAACAAACGAGATGCGAAACTAAAACCTGTTGCCAGATGGGGAAGGATACCGTTGGATATAGGAACGGATGTCGCCGGAGAGAGTGATAGATGGAGATGGAATGAGTTGCGATTTAGGGATTTAAGTTATGAGTTGCTGCTGCTGCGTAGTTATATACCCAAAATATTTGTGTTGCAAAACTAAAACCTGTTGCGAATTTGAAATTCAGTGTTGCGACAGTCAGAATCGCGTTCCGATAGTCAGAATCGAGTTGTGATTATGTATTATCGCGTTGGGATAGTCAGAATCGCGTTGCGATTATGTATTATCGCGTTGCGATAGTCAGAATCGCGTTGCGATTTAGATCGCGTTGCGATTTTGTTGGTCATTTTGGTAAATAAAAAAAAAACTGGTCAAAATCGTATATTATAAGGAATTTTCGGTCACTGAGGTTATTTTCTCTTTATATATATGTGTGTAATTATATATATATATATATAGGTATAAGTATATATATACTTATAACTATAATGTATAGTTATATATATTATATATTTATATAAATATATACTTATAATATATATATATATATATATATATATATATATATATATATACTTATAATATAAGTATAGTGTACATTATAATATTATCATAACATTCATCATATATATATATATATATATATATATATATATATATATAAAATTGATTTAGTTTTTTCCTCAACTTTTAAAATAAATGCAACTCAATCCATTTCTGTATTAATTTCATTTTCATATTTTATAATTATTTTGGATTTGGTCCTACATGTTATTAATTTATTTAAATTTTAATTTGTAATTTCATATTTATTCAATTTAAACCTTAAAAATATATTTGTATATGAAATCGACCCATACTTATCTATATTTTTGTATACTTCAACCTAGTTATTAAAATTATATTTGTATATGAAATTGACTCATACTTATATATATTTCGATTTGATGCCTCGTACATTCGTGTTGTTTAATTTATTTAAAATTTTGTATGTAATTTCTTTTTTGTTCAATTAAGTCTTTAAAATTATATTTTTATTAAAATTGTCTCACAATTATTTATATTTTTTGTAATTTACTCCAATCATATACCATTAAAAATTACAATTTGTCGTTCATGAAAGACAAAAAAATAATTAACCCAAAAAAGACCCGACCTGAAGTCAATTCGTACCCTGTAAGATCCGACCTAAATTTTGTATGTCAATGATGTTACCCGATTTAAACGAGATCCGACCTGAATTTCATCCGAACCTGAATTAACCTGGAATTTAACTTATTTGGACCTTAACCGTTTTGACTTGAACTGGCATCAATCTGAACTGAAATTAACCCGATCTGAACCCGAACTGAATCTGATGGTAAAATCAACCTGAAAATGACCCGAACTGATTTGACCTCAACCCGACCTAATCTGAATCAAACCATCAAATTGACTTGATACGAGCTATATATGATTTGACCTGACCTGACAAATCCCGACTTTAACCTAAACGATTACATGATTTTACATCCCTAAGTAAGTACAATTATTTGACTTCATTCATCCTGCATGAGTGTAAAAAGCACTAAGTCGAAATCACATCGTCATTAATAAAGAAAAAAACTATTATAAAAATAAATATATTTTCAAGGATTGAAGAATAATAGACTTTATACCTATCTTGTGGTTTAATAACAAAAAAAACTTTTATTAAACTAAAAACTCTATTGATATTAGAGCATATGCTTTATTCAAGATAACTTCTTCCTTTTTTTGTTTATATAAAAAAAAAACCCTATCATCTTAGGAAAACTACATATAGGTAATATTACTATCATTTAAACTACTTTAAAACTCTAATTTTAAGGTTTTCCAATCATATTTTTTTTTCTCTTTTTAGTTTTTCTTTTTCTTTATCTTTGTAATCGACAACGATATTAACTACACTATTATTATTAAGTAAAAGAAAATCACCAAGTGAAGTCACCAAATATTAAACCCATTACACAAAAAATATCCCAAACTAGTGGGCCCATATGGAAGGCCTGTGTACTCAACCCAAAGCAATTAGGGTCTTTTCATAACCCTTGGGCACCGTCAACACGTGAACCATTATATTTAGAGGTGATCTAACGACGCAAATGCATCATCAAACTAGGGTTTTGTAACCATTCTTCGTGCAACCAATTTTAGACAGTTAGATCTGGATCTCATCCAACGGTTTAGATCAAGTTTTATAATTAGAGTTTTAACCCAAATGCATGTCCAATCACCACCAACCATGTAACCCTCTAGATCCATCCTATATGTTATAACTAGATCTAACATATTATTTTAATTTCCCAAAACGTTCTTCATTACTTTAATATCAGAAAATATCCAAGGCAGTAATAAAACCATAAATATCACGCGTACATAGAAAATATCAAATAACCAATATCGAAATAATAAAATATTAGTAATAATACAAAATAAGTTATAAAATAAGTATCTCAAAATATAATCACATGTCACCCAAAATAAAGATAGTCTAGAAGATGAAAACATTACAACAATATACGATACTGAATGTGTTGATCCTCTAAGTGCCAAGTTCAGGGTGCCTATCCAAAGTTATCTAGAAAGGGAAACTTGGGGAGTGAATTAAGGAGTTTAGTGTATTCCAATAAGTGCATAATAAAACATACTAGTAAATTTCATAAAATAGTGTATCCCTAGAACTACATCCATAAAGACTTACCTTATACCCAATTGGTATAGAAGCCTATCTTAGTGAGTACCTTGGGGCCTATGGGCCTACCCAAGGGTCATCTTAGGTCCATAAGGAATTACCAACTTGATCGAAGCTGAACGTGCAGAACTTCAGAATACATCCAAGACAATACCCCAATAAAACAGTTTCATGTAATAACCAGTAGTATCATGATTCCATAAATTAAACATTTTTATATTTTTCAGTAAAATCGATAAACAAAGAGCATGTATCGGGCAAACATAGTTTATAAACAGTAAATCAGGAATCAAGATATTGATAAGATAAAATATTCATAAATCAAATCAAATAAACAATCATATTTTAGAACAAATAAAACAATCATATAAAACACAAGGACCACACCTTGCAAAAAGGGATCAGTCTAGGAAGTTCATTGAGCATCGATCTCCCTACTATCTACTACACTGCTCGAACCTAAACCATATCGAATTTGGGTTACTATTGAAGAAATATTTAAATCTAAGTATTTAAAGGGTTTAAAAAAGCCATACGGGTAATCACAAGCTCGCGCGATCGAACGGATCGAGAGAAGTTGGGTTAAGTTGACGAATGATCAGGAGAATCTCGAGTACCTTCAATAATCAACATCATAAACCAATCCTTAATCTTAATTTAAATGCACTTAAATAAAATACTTAAATGCATATACATGTTATTCTGAGGATTTTGGGTTAGAATTTAGTGAAACAAACCACAAAATTAGATGAAGGAAAAACTTAAAATTTGACTTTTAGAAAAAGTCAAATATTTTGTCAAAGTCAATCCTAGTGAAAGCCGACTCTAGTTAACGATCAGGTCAATAGTTCAAACGGGTTTGGGTTGACTCAGACCAACATCTAGATGGTTCTCGATGGCGGAGAAGCCCACATGCTAGGACAGCGTGTGACGACGTGTGCAACGTCAAAGAGTCGGTGGAGACGGTTCAATTACACCCTGAGCATCCACATACCATTTATCAACTCATATTAAGCCAAAAACCAACCAAATATGGAGAGAATATAATCGGAAAAGAATGATCAGAAACTTACCAATATGTGGCGGTGAAAGTACAACAGAGAAGATGGTAAAGTGGACCGATGATCGAGGCGACAAAATAGAGGCCAACGATTTGAGTTCTCGCCGAAGGTTTGAGGCTTTCTCCCAAACGAATGATGTTGGTTTCGTTGTGGGGGCGATGAAGGTTACGGCTGGTCGGGGAAGGGTTCAACGGTGAAGGCGGTAGAGAAAGACTTACAAAATTTGGGGATTTTTTTATTTTAGGTATGGGCTCGATCAAGAGGGGGATTTGGGGATTTAAAATCTGATCTTAAAGGTTTAAAATATTTTTATTAACTAAAGCATAAATAGTGCCCTAACATAGTAACAGAGGCATGGGCTCTTTTACCTATTCAGTTTTTTTTTTCATTTTTTTCTAGGCTGACACAGAATGAGAAAAATCAAGAGTTTGGTCCTTGACCTTCATGAAATTTCAAAAACTGTCCTAACATTTTTAGGATCTTGCAATATGGTCCCCAAAATTAAGATAAATTGATATTTTTTAAATTGGGTAAAAATATGTGTAAAGACATTGCAAGATATTATTTTAAATACAAATTTCTAAACATGGGTGTCTTAATTGAATTTTTTAATAACTAAAATAGAATTAATATCATAGTTTAATGACTAATAGATAATTTATCCTTATATATTATAAATATAAAACTCGTTTTTCGGTTAATTTAATATAAAATTTTAAAAATTAATAATCAATTGAAATAACCAACAAAATTGATCTTATAATGAAAAATTACCCAAATCGAAAGAGTAGGTTTAAGCAATTTTTAGTCTAAACCAAAAAGAAAAAATGTCCTTCCTAAAATTAATCATCTTGAAGAACAAATAAATTAATAAATAAAATATATTGAAATGAAACACATACTAAAACTTAAATTAATATATTTGAAGTTGAACACAAAAGTTTTTGGTATCTCATTTTCTATTAAACTCAGTATTAGTTAAATTAATTTTATATAAATATTATATATTCATATCTTTATATAATTTTTTAATATATAAGGTAATTAAAAAGTAGTATATTTTTACAATATTTTTAAATCATTAACAACGTATATACATCGGGGCCGAATTTCATGGGGTTAAGGAGAGCTTTGGCCCCGCCAATTATATTTTTAAGTATTAATAAAAATATATATTTGAAAAATAAATAAAAAGATTTATTAAGGTCTCCTCAATTAAAAAATAAATTTGTAAAATGTAAAAAAATATTTTAACCTTACTATAATAAATTCCTAGTTTCTCCTCTATATATATATCATACAAATATTTATACTTAAAACCTCAAAAAAAAAATACTTTGTATAAAAAGGCTAGATTTCAGTATATGAAATATCATTGTAAACTTTAAAAATCCAAAAATTGGAAGTATGTAGAAAAGACAAGAAACCAACACTTCAAAGCTATCAAATCAATATCATCTACACCACAAGTTCCTTTCCGGTCCACTCTCACATCTAACTACTTATGTTCTATTAAAATTATTTTTTATTTATTTTTATATATTTTTTTCTAAATTTTAATTATAATTATCTAAAATAATATTAATAATTAAATACTATAAAATATATATTTAAAAAATATTTAAGTGAGTTTTTAAAATATATTTTTATTAGTAAAAATTTTAAATGATGAAAATTTAAAATTAAAAAACTGACGAAATTAATAAAAATAGAATTTATTAAGACAAAGAGTATTTTTTTTAAAAATATTTTAGAGATTAAATATCATAAAAATAAGGTATTGGGATAAAATTTTAATTATATAAAATAGTAAATGGATAAATTTTAAATAATTTTATAATTTTCTTTATTTTTATAGATCATGCAAATATAACTTTTAATACATTTTAATAATTATTTTATATTTTTTAATTCTTAAAAATTAATAAAAAATAACATCCGATTAAACCTCAAATATCATCATTTTTATATCAATTGTCTCGTCATTTACCATGTTACTTATAGGGGGTGATTGCATCATAAAATTCAAGATTCATGGTGGGAATTTTTTTTCCAGATTCAAATTTTCGTGTTTGGATGGGAAATATTCCCTATAGGGAGTAATAATATATTCCAAAAAGTAAAAAAATTTCTCTTTTTACCGGGAATGTTAATCCCTTGCTTTTCTTAGGTATTCTTTTATTCCTCTGTGCTAAGGGCTAAAATACCCTCTTTTCCCGTTTGCCTCTGCGATATCTTCTTCTCCCATGCGTTCTTTGTTCTTGAACTCCACGGCACAGATTGGAGGAGTATCCGATTCTCGATAAAAAATTTACCCTTTGCTCTTCTTACTCACTTCATATTCTTTCAGGTTGCTCATTTTCCTTCAACCTTTGCTTATCTTTATTCCTTTTTGGTTTGGGTGTTTGTGCTTTTTTGGATTCCTGTTGAATCCATTTTTTTTAATTTGATTTTTGGGCTTTAAATAACAGTTAATAGAATTGAAATTTCCAAGTAATCTGTTCTTTTTTTGGTTGCAAACGAATCTTAAGTTTTAGTATTGAAATTTCCAGCTCTTGGATTGAAATCTGCATCAGTGGGTAGGGTAGTGTAGTTGTTAACTGCTTTCTTCATACAAGGTTTGTTCATAGAATGATTTTCCTGGTAATAGCAGTTGAAGTCCACCGCTTATAGTGTTTGTGTTTGAATTTCGGAAAATCTAGGTAGTTTTGGTGGGTTTATCAGGATCATAATCTTCATAGTTGGGTGAAGTAGTGTAACTATTAGCTGCTTTCTTTATCTAAAGTGCTCATAGAGTGGCTTTTCCGGGTGACAACAACCGTTGTGTGCAACATGTAGTGCATGTATTTGAATTTGGAAGCTTTAGGTAGTGGAGTTGGGCTATTAGCTGCTTTTATAGTATTGCACATAGAATGGTTATATTCCTCCAACATTGGTAAGCGGATTGTGAGGGCTGGCTTAGCAAAGGCACAATAGATCGTTAGCTATCCATATTTAAACAATATAACGATGGATCCAGGGGACACTATGCACTTGTTACACAATGACCACGTAGAGAAGCAAGGTCTGTACAGGGCAAAGAATAGGGAGGTGAAATATGCTTGTAATAGTGTTTTTATGTTTCTAGTTTTTAGGGTGTGACATATTCTAGTTTTGTAAATCCATGCTTTTGTTCATTTTTCTCTACTGTTGCTTGATAGATGATGGATCTTGAGGGGGAAATCCCATGAGATAATCTCAAGTTTCTTTTAGAGAGAATAGACCTAAAAGTGTAAGTTGAATGAAGTATAAAACTTTTGTATGATATTTAGTTCTGTATTTTCTTTTAATTCAAAAAGGAAATAGATGTTACCCTTTATTTCATGCACCTTGAAGTAACTATCATGAGAATTTCTTTTGTAATTTTCGATCTCTGTCAGATGTTATGTTTTACAAGCTCAATTCTGCATCCATTAATTTCCTTTTACATGAGGCTTTGAAAATAACTGGTGTCATCATCCTAATTTCTACTGGAAGCCTTTGAAATCTAAGGTGAGCGCTTTATAATTGGATTATATAGACTCTTTCATTCTAATTATGGAGTTTTTTGTTTTCTGCGTCCATGGCACGCAGAGTTGTGGTTGTTATGTTTCTGGTATTGGATTGGGAGGTTCTTTTTGGTTGTAAAAATTAGAGGAGAAGGGGACTTGAGGATAGAGATGAAGGGAATGGAGGGGATGAGGTGGAAAATACTTAGTAGTATCCTCTATGAATGGTTCCCAGGATTCTAGGCTTGATGATATTTTTTCTGAGTAGTTTCTAGAGTGATTATACTTTATTCAGTTTCCATATTCATTGGTTTTGTTGTGGGTTTTCTTGAAGATATGTTTCCTTTCTTACAACTTGAGGTGAGGTGAGGGAAAAATTAATAACTTAAAAAAATTGGGAAGCGAGTAAAATAGTTAATAGGGTTGTTTTTAAGGGTGAAACATGATGAGGTTTAAAAGCAAACAAAGAAATGTGTGGCTACCTACTTGTTTGATCTTTCAGAGCTCAAAGTTCAGGATGGGATTTCCTCTATTGATCTTCATTCAAACCAGGTATGCGGCTCTCTCTCGAGCATTTTAAATAACCAAACAAGCAACTTCTTGGAGGTTATAGATGTGTAAAATAATCGCATTTCTGGTACGCTACCAGAATTCACCGAAGGGTTGAGTTTGAAAGTGTTGAATATAGGAAGCAACAAGATTGCAGGCCAGATCCCAAGTTCAATCTCAAATCTTGTTGAACTCGAAAGGCTGGATATTTCAAGGAATCTGATACCTGGTACTATACCAATAAGTTTGGGACAATTTGTGAAGCTTCATTGGCTTGATATTTTCATCAACAGTCTCACTGGAAAAATACCAACTAGCTTGTTGGGCATTAAGATTATGAGACATGCAAGCTTCAGGGCAAATAGACTATGCGGAGAGATCCCACAAGACCGACCTTACAACATCTTCCCTGCTTCAGCTTATGCTCGCAATCTCTGCTTATGTGGGAAACCAATGCCACCTTGTAAGGGAAAGAAACAAGAGACAAGTCGGTGAAATGTTGACTCAAATATGCCCAAAGTAGAAATATTCATGTTTTTACAGCACTAGCAATATTTTTTTTTACCTTTTTCCACTAGTAATTTCAAGCACAATTTTACTAATAACTACTACGGAAACAAACATTGTTTCAGTATGAAGTTTTAACTATATCTATGATAAATAAGTTATCTTTTTATTACTTACCAGCTTTGCATAACCATTACATTGAGACAATTAATGCTATGAAAGAACACTTTTGTCTTCATAAATGTCGACACAAGAAAATTTGAGGACCACCTCTAAAGATGAAATCTTGTCATCATCACAACTGCTAATTCATGAAACTTTACTTTAAAGCAAAAAACTCGCTTCAGCCTTCTCATGTCAAAGAAGACAATATAACATGATTGCCAAAGAAAGGAAAAAGTTTCCTGTCAAAACCCTAACACCTACCAGAATCCATTACCTTCAAGGGGATGAAAAATGCGTATCAACCTCACAAAATGAGGGATGGATCCTTGGAAAAAACACTATGCCACCAAGGCACTGCCTAACAATAATTATACTTCCTTTTCAACAACATATGTTTCCTTCTCTGAACCTCTTTCCTTCTAAACAAACAAGAAAAAGTTGATGATATCAGTTGTCAGCATATTTGATAAACGAGAGACCAATGGACCACTTGATGAATCAAATGCCAACTCTTAAAAATGAAGCCTTCCTAGTTACTTGATCATTTTCTTTGTTAGCACTGTTAGCCTCTTAAGAAAATGGTTTATGGTCAAACACATCACTTATAATTGGTTTAAGTTAATTAAATTCTAGCTCCAATGAATACTAATTTTAAATAATGACTGAATATCAACGACTTACTTCTTCCGACAAACCCATTTTAACAACTTTCTTTTGCAACCTAAATTTCATAGATGAAATGCTTAATATCTAAAAATTAAAAATAAGAACCATCTGAATCACTGCCAACTTAAACTCATGGATTTAAGCCAAAAAAGGCTAACGGAAGTGTCCTTACATGAATAAAAAGAAAGCAGTAGGAAGATGTTTAGGGGAATTAGGATCTTCTTTTCGAATATGATAATGATGAATGACAGTGAAATATAAAATTATAGACAATATGATTTTTAGTGTTATATTTTCTTACTTATTTGAATTATGTTTTTGAAATATAAATTAATGAGATAAATAATAATGATAAAGTATGCAGAATTAAGTATAAATATAAAAGATAAATAAATAAATTATTGTATATAGAAGATATAATAAATATTATATCTTACATAACAAAAATAATTTACATCTTTTTATTATTATGAATATCTATGAAGAATTTCCACAATGTAAACATTTAGTTAAATGTTGATGTAAAATTTTAATATATTTTTACATAAATTATGTAAAATTTAATATTAATTAAAATTAAAATAATACATGATATATTTAAATACTCAAGTAATATATTATCAATAAATAGAATTTTTATATAAATAATTTTTATTTAAATATTTAGAATTTCACTTGTTAAAAAACAAATATATAACAAGGACAATTTGGTAAAATACACATTCCAGTAATCTTTTATTCCTCCAACCAAACACTGTAATCTTACATTCATGCCAAACCAACCAAACACAGTAACGTAACATTCCCAGTAATCCTATTCCCTGGTAATATTTTATTCCCACTAGTAGTAATCTTAAATTCCGTGAACCAAACGCACCCATAATATTACCCATTAACAAATCATTGAAAATACCTACGGAGAATGACTCAATTAATTTTTTTAAGTAAAAAGTTATCTAAGGTCTTTGTACTTTTGTCAATGTACATATTATATCAAATTATCATACTACTAAAAAAATTATACATCTTAAAATTCATATATTCACATAAAAATTTGAAGAAACATAATTTATCTAGTCTTTTTCATTTACCAATAATTTTACAAAACTTGCATATAACCACAAGAATAGATCAATTTAATTTTATAATAAATTCACATAATATAAAAATTTAATCAATAAATTTTAAAATTATTTTTATATTTATATAATCAAGATATTTAGAGGAATTTTAAAATATTTTCACACACAACACATAGACGCACATATATATATTCTTATTTTTAGAGAAGAAAATTCATGAACCCACATAATAAATATAAATATTTAAAATAAAATCATAAATATAAATTAAATTAAATTATTTAAAAAAATATTTTTAAATAAAATAAAATATTTGATAAATGGATTGAATTATCAACTTAACGAGATAAACAACTCAAAGAGGATCAACAACCAAACATGAAAAAAATATAAATAAATTTTTTTATACCTTGAAATCATAAATTTGTTACAAATGTGTCGCAACAGTCCTTCGGGTGGTCCAGGGTTCGAGCTTTGACTTGGAATCGTGATAAAGTCGTTGCTGATCACTTTCTAGTTAGGTGGATCAGACACCTCATTTTTTCCCATTTACCAGATCTGCATCTTACCAGAGAATTGTCGGATTCGGTAGTAGGTTACAACCAGGGAAAGATGGTCACCCGGAATTGCCCTTTCGGTACCACACAATTACCCAATTGTCTTAATCGTGAAAATTTAAAGTTTAAATAAAATTTAAGTTCGATCCAAGTTTCTTACCTTTGATTTAATTTCTGAACTTAAAAAAAGATCTTAAAAATAAATATTAGTACAAAAAAAAAGAATGCTGCAAAATAAAAAAAGGTTCAATGAATCACTTTAAATGAAAATAAATAATAAAAAGATAAGGATCAAATTGAGTTAAAATTGAAATTCAAAGGCTAATAACAAGTAGGGACCAAAGCAAATTACGCATCAAAATTATAGGGACTGAGGAAATAATTTAATTATTTCCTATTTGCACAAGGTCCTCGACATATGTATGCCTTAAAATCCATTTTTCATTTCATTTTAACACTTTCTTTCAAAACACTCACCACCCAAACTTTCTCATCCCTCTCCCAATCCGGTTATCCTCCTCGCCGAGCCCCTACTGCTCTGACCACCACCAACAATGCCCCGAAAACCCAAAGGCCACCAAATCAACAGTCTTTCCCTTATGAACCCTGATTTACTCACGAAATAACCATGCAAAGAGCCTTCTACCATAGATCTGAATAAAGGCTCTCGGCTTCCTCACATTCTCCGGTGACTTCTCGGTTCTCAACATTGTTTTTTCTTCTCGGAAACGAGAGCCCTCGAAGCTAAGTGGCCTTCTCACTTTGTTTTTTGGTTTATTCTTTTTTTGTGTGGCTTTTTTTGTGCTTCGAAAATTTCCAACTACTGATTTCCCCTCTTTCATTTTTACAGGAATCTTTTATAGGCATGTAACACCCCCAACCCGTATCCGACCCAGATACGAATATGAGGTGTCACATTAACTTTTCAAAACATTAACTTTTACAAATCTAATAAGATTTAAAACTTTTATTAAAAGAACAGTACAATAATTTACATAGATCTCCTAAAGAAAACGCGTTATTCATTCTCTGAGTTAAAGAGGCAGGAGGTTGGAACAGCGTTCAACGTCCTGAAGAAAATATCTTGATCTCCTATAGCCACTCCAGAAGGTGCATGTTCTTCACCTTGCCTGGCCAGGGCAGGTGAATTACTACTTTCAGCGGGCCTATCATCTCCCGCTACACTTTGAAAACTATCATGTCCGAACATCTAATAAGACATAACCATATCATTCTATTAGCAAAACAACATACTCACTATTTGGTGGGCGTCGAATCCAACAAATAATAATACTTGTTTTTGGAAATATAAAATTGTAGTAGCAATAAGCAAGGTCGAATCCACAGGGATTGGGTATATTTATTTTAATGAAAATTAAAGCAAAGAAAAGGGGTTTTAAAATTAAGAAAGATAAAAAGAAAAAACAATTATAATTAACTAAGAATTTAGAGAAATTAATATTAAGCAAATATCCAACTAAAGGTGTAATTTCAGAATTTGTTCAGAGAATTGATCATAGATGCAATGATAAAATCTTCTACTTTTCACTAAATTGGTTATGGTTATTGAGAAGCTCTAACAACTTGTCTCTCCTTAGTTTCTCGATAATCAAGAGAAGCTCTTTAATTATTTCCCTAGTTAATGAACAACCCTAGACAAGCTCTTAAGATTTAATCCACCAACAACATTAATCGCTAGAGGGACCACCAATTCTAGCCAACGAATACACAAACTCGATTCATTTAGAATAGGTTATATACCTTCATAACATAATCATAATCAACCATGTTACTTTACCACTAATATTAGAACGTTTAAACAATTACGGATTTAAAGTTCTAAATGGCAATTTATCAACTTGATAATTGAACAACGGATCATTTGCACAATCAATCAAGACAATAATTCTTAATAAAAATAGAAGATATATAAATAGCAAAGAAGTAAAAGAACAATGAAAATTATTTAGATCTCACAATCCTTGAAGAACCAAAGCTTCAATTATCCTCCAGTTGGAACAAAAGTATTTAGCTACTCATAATTGAAAGAAAACCAAAAGAAAATAAAGAAAACTTAATGTAAAACTTGATGTAAAACTAATGGCCCTAGCTCCCCTTTTATAAGGATTTTCCTATTCTAGATAAAGAAGTTTCCCTTAAAGAAAATCCCACAAAAATAGGAGTTTTAAATGCCCTCATCTTTTTCTAAAGATAAGAATAATTCAAAAGAGTCTTCCAGCCATCATTAAACTCTTTTTCCATTGTAAATTTATAACCCTAATTTAGGGTTGTACGGGCTGGTAAGGCATGCCCACGCCTTAACTGAAGACTTCTTATGCGGTAGTTAAGGATGAATAAGTCGTGCCCACTCCTTACGCGAAAACCTCTTCTGGTCTTGCTAGCCTCTTGAATTCTGATTTTTCCTCATTAATTCGGGATTTTGTGAAGATCATGCTAATCATAATATTTTGAACTTGTTTTATCCAAATCTTCAACCTAATCCACAAAATATGAAATA